TTTAATTATGAAAACGGATGATCTACACGGCTCCACTTTCCACATATTCAATTAAAAGCTTGTACTCAGCTATGTATCCAAAACCAAAAAAAAAAATCATAAGAAATTTTTAAATCATAAACAAAAATAAATTCAACAAAAGAAAAAACCATTGAAGTATAACCAACTAAACACTAGAGAAGATCTTCAAAATTCCTGTCTTGTGCATATACAGGGTTATTCAGCTAAGATGACATATTTATATTTTTAAAATAGGCAACCCAAAATACCGACTCCACCTGAACCTGGATTACAAAAAATGTTTCAAAATTAAATTAAATTGTATCAAATTTACTGCCACAATTCTGGCTATAATTATTGATGGTGTAAAACGGCCTGATTTTGACAAATGAAATATCTTCTAAAAGAGAGGGTGGGTCGGTGGGGATGGTCGCTGGTAAGATAAAACTAATTTTGGCAAACCACATACCCCTAAGAAAAGAGAGGGTGGGTGGGCGGGCCTAGCCCCTGATAAGATTAAACTGATTTCCGCAAATGACATATTCTCTAAGAAAAGAGAGGGTGGGTGGGCGGGGCTAGTATCTGCTAAGATAAGAGCGATTTTTGTGAGTATTGGCCCCACCCAGCCACCCTTTATTTTCTTCGAGGATATGCCATTTGGCAATATCCGTTTTATCTTAGCTTAGCCCCGCCCACCCGCACTTTATTTTCTTAGAGAACACGTCATCTGCCAAAATCAGTCTTATTTTGGAAAGTACTAGCCCCACCCGCCCGCCCTTCATTTTCTTTGAGGGTATGCCATTTGGCAATATCAGTTTTATCTTGACAAGCACTAACCCCGCCCGCCCGCCCTTTATTTTCTTAGAGAGTACATCATTTGCCAAAATCAGTCTTATTTTGGCCAATACTAGCCTCACCCGCTCACTCTTTGTTTTCTTAAAGGGCTAGTACCTGTTACGATAAAACTGATTTTGGCAAATGGCATACTCTCTAAGAAACCAGAGGGTGGGCGGGCGGGGCTAATAGTTGCCAAGATAAGACTGATTTTGGCAAATGAGATACCTTCCAAGAAAAGAGAGGGTGGGTGGGTGGGGATAGTCCCTGCTAAGAAAAAAAACAATTTTGGCAAATCACATACCCTCTAAGAAAAGAGGGAATGTGATACACATACCTGCTAAGATAAGACTGATTTTGGCAAATGATATTCTCTAAGAAAAGAGAGGGTGGGTGGGCGGGCCTAGCCCCTGCTAAGATAAAACTGATTTCCGCAAATGACATATTCTCTAAGAAAAGAGAGGGTGGGTGGGCGGGGCTAGTATCTGCTAAGAGAAGAGCGATTTTTGAGAGTATTGGCCCCACCCACCCACCCTTTATTTTCTTCAAGGATATGCCATTTGGCAATATCCGTTTTATCTTAGCTTAGCCCGGCCCACCCGCACTTATTTTCTTAGAGAACACGTCCTCTGCCAAAATCAGTCTTATTTTGGAAAGTACTAGCTCCACCCGCCCGCCCTTCATTTTCTTTAAGGGTAGGCCATTTGGCAATATCAGTTTTATCTTGACAAGTACTAACCCCGCCCACCCGCCCTTTATTTTCTTAGAGAGTACATCATTTGCCAAAATCAGTCTTATTTTGGCCAGTACTAGCCCCACCCGCTCACTCTTTGTTTTCTTAGAGGGCTAGTACCTGTTACGATAAAACTGATTTTGGCAAATGGCATACTCTCTAAGAAACCAGAGGGTGGGCGGGCGGGGCTAATAGCTGCCAAGATAAGACTGATTTTGGCAAATGAGATACCTTCCAAGAAAAGAGAGGGTGGGTGGGTGGTGATAGTCCCTGCTAAGAAAAAAAAACAATTTTGGCAAATCACATACCCTCTAAGAAAAGAGGGAATGTGATACACATACCTGCTGAGATAAGACTGATTTTGGCAAATGATATTCTCTAAGAAAAGAGAGGGTGGTTGGGCGGGCCTAGCCCCTGCTAAGATAAAACTGATTTCCCCAAATGACATATTCTCTAAGAAAAGAGAGGGTGGGTGGGCGGGGCTAGTATCTGCTATGATAAGAGCGATTTTTGTGAGTATTGGCCCCACCCACCCACCCTTTATTTTCTTCAAGGATATGCCATTTAGCAATATCCGTTTTATCTTAGCTTAGCCCGGCCCACCCGCACTTATTTTCTTAGAGAACACGTCATCTGCCAAAATCAGTCTTATTTTGGAAAGTACTAGCTCCACCCGCCCGCCCTTCATTTTCTTTAAGGGTATGCCATTTGGCAATATCAGTTTTATCTTGACAAGTACTAACCCCGCCCACCCGCCCTTTATTTTCTTAGAGAGTACATCATTTGCCAAAATCAGTCTTATTTTGGCCAGTACCAGCCCCACCCGCTCACTCTTTGTTTTCTTGGAGGGCTAGTACCTGTTACGATAAAACTGATTTTGGCAAATGGCATACTTTCAAGAAACCAGAGGGTGGGCGGGCGGGGCTAATAGTTGCCAAGATAAAACTGATTTTGGCAAATGAGATACCTTCCAAGAAAAGAGAGGCTGGGTGGGTGGGGATAGTCCCTGCTAAGAAAAAAACAATTTTGGCAAATCACATACCCTCTAAGAAAACAAGAGGGCGGGTGGGCGGGGCTAGTACCTGCTAAGAATAAACTGATTTTAGTAAAATTTAATTAAATTATTATAAGAAAAACACCAGAGTCTCCAAAGTACTGTCAAATTTTTCCAAGCAGGAATTACCTAGAACCTCAAGATTATTTGAATTTAAAAAAAAAGGGGTCCAAAATAACTCAAAAACAGGTCAGGTCAGAATTTTCCAAAAATAAAACACCAAAGTCCCCCAAAATTGTTTTAAATAATTTAGAAAAAAGTCTCCATGGGCTCCTAAATAATACATCATGGGTAACAGTGTTTCCCGAATTAAAAAAAAAGCCACTGGGACACTCGAGACTTTTTCAAATTCGTAAAAAATAAGACACTAAAAGCTCAAAAAAATGTTTTCAAGTTCATCCAATAACAAAACACCAGATTTCTTTAAATTAATCCGAAACCAGAGGACTTAAAATTAACTGCGAACATTTTAAACGTGGGATTTTGAAAATATCTTTGTACATTCTAAACGAAATGGTAATTAAACATGGTCATGAGTGAGAAATATTAATTAAAAGTTTTATTACTAGTTATTGTGATAATGAATGTGTTGTTTAGTTGTTAAACGTAGCAAAAGAACCTATTTTTTAAAATCATTAAAACTCCACCAAAATGTGAGGATTTTTTTACTATTTTTTCAAGACTCACCAGTTGATTGTTACGAGCGTAGCGGAGAGTTAATCCGCCATTTTCCAGACACCCGGTATAACAAAATGATGTACGCACAACAAAAAATATATACATGTAAACAAATATTTAAAACGTTCCAGGTGGCGCCCTCTATTGCTTCAACTGTTAAAGCAAAACCTGGAAATCTAATAATTTGGTCACAACTTCACAAATCCATCAAACGGACAATTTTTTAAAACCCCATAACCTAAGAATCATACATAGCCCACTTGTCCAACAGGCGCGTTCAAGAATGTTTTATTCATTGAACTTTCAACCTAATCATAAAATAATAAAAAGAAATTTGAAAATGTCCATTATGTCAGGCGTGGCGATCCACATATCTGATTAACCCCAATTTCATAACAATCAAGTCTAAAATAACGCACAAAAAAAAACATATGCAAAAAACATTGACGCATTGTGGAAAGTTTGGGGGTCAATTATTCCCAGAATATAACAAAATCTGTTACATCCTGCTAAAAATAACACGTAAAAGTTCATAATATTGTTGTTTCTCATAAAATAAAAAAGGAAAGTGAAAATAAAAACCTGGGAGTGGAAAAACTTGTCTGCGCTTCCAATTTCAACTACAATAATCACAACTTTAATATTCAAAGATCCACTAAATGACGAAATACCTGCGAACAGAACATTAAATTGTTCAATTTTAAGCAATAATTACCTTCTCGGAAAAACGACGCCATTTCACACAAATTTTCTCGAACTTGTGGTGCACAGCCAACTTGCTGCACCTATTAATTGAAATAATGCGCAATAGTTAAAATAAAACTTGGAGATGGATTTACCCCCGATCCATACTTACGAGCCAGTTTTTCACCCTTTCAAAGCGACTTACCGTTAAATATTGCATCTTCAACCCCAATTTAGCGACTCCTGCTGAAATTAACAACAAAATTATGCAAAATTTAAAGCCATCTTGCTACAAATGTCAACGCGAACCAGTTACCTGGGAACCTCAGGAATGAACAAAATTAAAATCCCTAAACTCTGACAAAACGGATTCATTTAATTCGAAGTCTAAAATTAAAACAACAATGAAAAAGATTAACAAAAACCTGAAATGTTACAACCATTACACCTACTAGTAAAACCGTTTCACAAAAAATTAAATTTCAAAAGAGTCATCTAGCCGTTATCACTAAAACTAAAACCAAGACGTGTTCAACACGTGTCACTAGCTGTCAAATTTCGAATTATAAACACCACCATTCGCTTAATTTAATTAATCTAATTTTCAACGCAATGCAAAATGAAGACGACTCCAACACACTAAACTACATCCAAAAACAGTTTTTGTGTAACACACCGGTTAAAGAAATCTGTTGGCAGGTGAGCCAAATAACCTAAAAATTGTGACAGATATCTTGTTTACCCGTTTTTTACAGAATTTTTCTAACTTAACTGTAACCGTCCAGGACGAAATTATCAATAACACAATACGCTTAGATTCGGTGCTAAAATACCCCCTAAATTTAAGTTATCAAAAGACGTTTCTCAAACATTTGTTGCAACTTCTGGAAAAGCAGGGTTCTGCGATATCTGACGCGCTTTACGAGGAGTACGCTCGACTGGTGGCGCTACCCAACAACAACATCAATTTTAAACACTACTGGCTTGAAAAGGGCAAGAATATTATATTAAGGGAAGATGTTCATCTCATTTGTGATGGAACAACGGGCTTGAGGACCTGGCAGGTGCATATTTGATAACACTTAGTTGTAATATAATAAGTAATAATAAATTGGACTTTTTACAGGCTGCTATAGCCCTGTCAGAATGGGTCCTTGCTAACACCACTCACTTTACTGCAAAGACAGTCGTAGAACTTGGCTCAGGCACTGGATTAGTCGGATTAGTTATATCTTTACTGTGCAAACCACAGGCTGTGTATTTAAGTGATTGTCATCCGTCGGTCTTAGCAACACTGTGTGATAACTTGAAGCTCAATGTTGGATGCGAAAATGGAAAAAATTGTGATTTGTTGCAACGATTTATTGTTAAAGAATGCGTGAATTCGTGTGAAGTGCACGTCCTGAATTTGCCTTGGGAAGACGTGTGTCGTGAATTTTGCCAGACGCTAGGTCAAGTGGACATAGTTGTGGCAGCAGATGTGGTGTACGATAAAACTATTTTTGAACCTTTGATAAGTGCAGTTGAGTGTTTGTTTAAATATTGTTCTGTAAAACAGTTTATTTTGTCATGTACAGAGAGAAACGAAGACACTTTGGAGAAATTTTTGTCTTTGATAGGTAATGGGTGTTTGTTGTTGGTGGTGTTAAATGACAAGGTTGATTTTTAGGTAGCAAGTTCAAGATTTGTGATATTGTGGTTCCACCACAACGGAATTTTATATGGACTGAGCAGCCGCCTGTTAAGATTTTTAATATTACTAAGGATACTTAAAGGTAAGCAAAATGGCTAATATTTTTTTGAGATTTTATATTAAAAATGAGTATGCAACCCAAAATACAGATGTGTAATCGTGTCAATCAACAACACGACTCATTCTATAGTTTGAAGTCCAAAATGACATCCTCGTGTACTTGTGGTTTATGAATCCGCTTTGATCGAAATCTAATAATAACAGAAACAAAATTTTAACATTTAAGTCTGGGATGTTTGAGTGAGAACGTTCTACCATAGTTTTAATGGTAAATGACACTCCAGTCATTTGTGGGATAAAATTGCACATACCTACAGACGAATGCACTTAATAGTTTTGCAATAACGACTCAAGTTACATAAATCTACGCAAAATTATCTGCGTTGCAAAAGTTAACGCTTTCGAAATAATTCCATCAAAAAAAAAACCTGCTATATATTGACGATTAACACCGGCGTAAAATCGCATTACAGTATAACCTCGATACCTAATCCGAATTATTGGGGAAAGGTCTATTCGGATTAGCGATTCGTTCGGATCAGCGAATTTCCCAAAATAACAACTTCATACATTGCTATAAAAAATTTTCATGAAATAAACCTTAATTTTATTAAACAAATAAAGTATTCTTAACCAACAATGGATAATAGATACATTCGAAAAAAATATTACTCCGTGACCATTAACCACCCTATATTTTTGGAATTAGCACGTATATTATTATATATCTCTAATTTTTTTCAGAATTTTTAGACAGCTTATTTTGACAAATGACCTAGTCTTCTAAGAAAAGGTACTAGCCCCGTCCACCCACCCTTTATTTTCTTAGAAGAGTAGGTCATCTGCCAAAATCAATCATATCTTGGCAAGTATGAGACTGATTTTTGCCAATCACATATCCTCTAAGAAAATAAGGGTGGGTGGGCGGGGCTAGTACTTGTCAAGATAAGACTGATTTTTGTCAGGTGACTTATTCTTCTAAGAAAATAAAGGCTGGGTGAGTAGGGCTAGTAATTGCTAAAAATAAAAAAAACTAAAAAATCAAAAAATGACAAATTGAAAAATTGGATAAATGAGAAATCGGAAAATTGTGCAACTGTTTAATCGGAAAATCAAAAACTGAAATATCGAAAAATTGAAAAAAAAACAAATCTTATAAAATCGAATTCGAAATTCCAGTTTTAATTTTTTTTTTTAGTCTTTAGATTTTTCAACTGGTGAATATTTCCTTTGATAAGTTGTTTGACAATTTAGCAGTTTTTAATTCCAATCTTTTGATTTTTCAAGTTTTAATTTTACAATTTTGAAATTTTTTGATTTTTAATTTTTCAAGTTCTCAAGTTAAAATTTTTCCTTTTCACGATTTGTCATTTTTCGATTTTTTTACTAAAAGAACAAATTTATACGAACCGAAATTTTGAAAAATCGAAAAATCCAAAAATTGAAAATTACAAACAAAATTTTCAGATGTTTTAAAGTTCCGGTAATCGCTGATCAAAATTAGTTTTTACTCCCTTCCAAAAACTCGGCGACAAAAAATCAAAAATCGAAAATTTAATAAAAATAAACTTGTATTTTCTCGATATTTTTAAAAATCAAATAATTGAGAAATCGAAAAAACTGCCAAATTTGTAAAATTAAAAAATCGAAAGTTTTTTTCAGTTGCCCAGAAAAATCAAAAATCGAAAGACAGATCAAAAAGTTGATAATTTAAAAAGCGGCAAATAGAAAAATTCGAAAGTTGAAAAATCGAAAAACTGAAAAATTTAGTAGTACTCGCTACGATAATACTGATTTTGGCAAAATGTTCTATTCTCTAAGAAAACTAAGGGAGGGTGGGTAGGGCTAGCACTTGCCAAATAATCTACCCTCTAAGAAAATAAAAGGCGAGAGGGCTGGGCTAGTATTGGCCAAAATAAGACTTATTTTGACAAATGACCTAGTCTTCTAAGAAAAGGTACTAGCCCCGCCCACCCACCCTTTATTTTCTCAGAAGAGTAGGTCATCTGCCAAAATCAATGATATCTTGGCAAATATGAGACTAATTTTTGCAAATGACATATCCTCTAAGAAAATAAGGCTGGGTGGGCGGGGCTAGTACTTGTCAAGATGAGACTGATTTTTGCAAATGACATATCCTCTAAGAAAATAAGGGTGGGTGTGCGGCACTAATACTTGTCAAGATAAGACTGATTTTGGCAGATGACCCACTCTTCTGAGAAAATAAAGGGTGGGTGGGCGGGGCTAGTACTTGTCAAGATGAGACTGATTTTGTCAGATGACTTATTCATCTAAGAAAACAAAGGCTGGGTGAGTGGGGCTAGTACTTGCTAAAAATAAAAAAACTAAAAAATAAAAAATGACAAATTGAAAAATTGGATAAATGAGAAATCGAAAAATTGAATAAATGAGAAATCGAAAAATTGTGCAACTGTTTAATCGAAAAATCAAAAACTGAAATATCGAAAAATTGAAAAAAAAAACAAATCTTATAAAATTGAATTCGAAATTCCAGTTTTCATTTTTTTTTAGTGTTTGGAATTTTCAACTGGTGAATATTTCATTTGATAAGTTATTTGACAATTTAGCTGTTTTTAATTCCAATCTTTTGATTTTTCAAGTTTTAATTTTACAATTTTGAAATTTTTTGATTTTGAATTTTTCAAGTTTTCAAGTAAAATTTTGCCTTTTCACGATTTGTCATTTTTCGATTTTTTAACTAAAAGAACAAATTTATACGAACCGAAATTTTGAAAAATCGAAAAATCCAAAAATTGAAAATTACAAACAAAATTTTCAGATGTTTTAAAGTTACGGTAAACATGGCAATCGCTGATAAAAATTACTTTTACTCCCTTCCAAAAACTCGGAGACAAAAAATCAAAAATCGAAAATTTAAAAAAATAAGCATCTATTTTCTCGATATTTTTAAAAATCAAATAATTGAGAAATCGGAAAACTGCCAAAATTGTAAAATTAAAAAATCGAAAGTTTTTTTTTCAGTTGTCCAGAGAAATCAAAAATCGAAAGACAGATCAAAAAGTTGAAAATTTAAAAAGCGAGAAATTAAAAAAATTCGAAAGTTGAAAAATCGAAAAACTGAAAAATTTAGTAGTTTTCCGCTACGATAAGACTGATTTTGGCAAATGATCTACTCTCAAAAACAAAAAAGGGCGGGTGGGTGGGGCTAGCACTTGCCAAATAACCTACCCTCTAAGAAAATAAAAGGTGGAGGGGGGGCTAGGCTAGTATTTGCCAAATAAGACTTATTTTGACAAATGACCTAGTCTTCTAAGAAAAGGTACTAGCCTCGCCCACCCACCCTTTATTTTTTTAGAAGAGTACGTCATCTGCCAAAATCAATCATATCTTGCCAAGTATGAGACTGATTTTTGCAAATGACATATCCTCTAAGAAAATAAGGGTGGGTGGGCGGGGCTAGTACTTGTCAAGATAAGACTGTTTTTGGCAGATGACCCACTCTTCTAAGAAAATAAAGGGTGGGTGGGCGGGGCTAGTACTTGTCAGGATGAGACTGATTTTGGCAAATGACATATCCTCTAAGAAAATATGGGAAGGTGGGCGGGGGGCTGGTCCTCTGATTGCAGAGTTTTTGTTCGGATTAACGAGATATCGACTTCAACTAGGCTCCCTTCGGATTACTGGATGTTCGGATCATCGTGGCTTCGGATTATAGAGGTTACACTGTACTTGCTTTCAGAGTCGCAGTAAAATAACTGTAGCCTTTGCACTGTAATTACGAAATAAAAACCACTTATTTAAATTGCCAATAAAGTATTCAGGGCGTAATTAGACAATTGAGCGGAGGAAATCGCCGCTAATTAATTTAAAGGATGTTGCAAAATACGCGAAACCGGGTTCAAAAATACAAAGTGCGTCACATTTCCGTTGCAGTGGTTTTATTATTGTAAATTGTGTACCCAGGTACCTATAATAAAAAATGAGCGATGCGTATCGCTACACATACATGTCCCACTGGACTACTTCGACACCGTGAAAATGCTATAGTTTGCATTTTCCAACGTTTGAGAGTAAAACTAAATCGGGGAAAGCTGTAGAAAGCTATTGTCTTTTCTCTTCGTTGCGATGACACTTCTCACTAGAAATTTCGTAGCTATTCAAATCGGGTGACCTTTGTTTCTTCAAGACAAATTTGTTAAAGGGATTTACAACTTAAGGATGTGTCTTCGTGCGGAAAATTTACGCTTTACGCTTTATAAACCAGACGGTGCCATTCCTACATCCGGAGTGGCACCGGAAGGAACTGGTAATTTTTTCCCAATTTATAATTTAGTTGCCGCGTTACCTAGAAAACGTAAAAACATGAGTCACACACAATCACAGAAAAAATTCAGAAATCCGCTTTCGAATGATTGCTGATTGCATCCGATAAGAAGACAACAGCGCCGCATTTATTATTATTATGATAATTTTAATGTGAGAGAGGCGATTTCCCCGTCCGGGTAATTGTCTGCGGATACCCGAAAGCTTGCATCGCCTTATTGAGTCGATGATATTTTTCGAGTGCGTATTGCGTCCGATGTATAATTTGTAAAAATGCGCCTCCAGGCTCCGGTCTTTGCTAATTAAACACGAGATAAAGAGAACATGCACGATGAAAAGGTCTCGTAAAACATGATGTGGTTATGGTGCATTCAACCCGCATAATGAACTTCATACATGATGTAAACAACAGGATCCGACTTTTCTCAAGAGTTGCGCAAGTGTTTCGCCTAATTATTGTTGTTATATAAAGCGCGTTATGATGACAGTGCCCGAACTGGATTACGGCTGTAAATTTTACGCTTAAAATACGAATTCTTGGAGGCAATAAAAGCAAGAAAATGCCGAGTGAAAATCTTGGAGGCGTCACGCTACGTGAATTTTATTATGCGGGGATTTGGGAAAAAATCGGACGCTATTTACACGGAACTGTCCAGCGTTCGATGTTTTGTGGACCAAAGCCAATATAATTTGAAATTCCAGACCTAGTTTTACA